CGTGCCCAAGATCCCGAGAGGAGAATGGAGGAGAAGGGATTGCGGCGTGACCATCCCCCCTGGGGGGTGATTTCTCGCTTTCTGTCTCTATGTCTCTCTCTGTCTGTCTGGCGAACGCACGCGCCCTACAGTGAAAATCTCTCTCAAAAAAAAAAAAAAAAAAAAGAGAAGAGTGTTTTGAACTTGGAGGGTAGGTAACCAGGAGTCTGGAAACAAGAATTGCTTTGCCTCTATTACTGTCTTCTGTTAGAACCCACTCCAGTCCCATTTTCTGAAGCTGTGGGCATGTAAACTCTTGGCTTCCTTATGTTGCAGTGTAGTGCAGCTGTATCCCCAGGATTGGGAGTTGGTGTTCTCAAAAAAGTGGGCAGAAGTAAAGAAAAAGTGAGAAAATATCTTCTGTGGAAACATTGAGATGAAATTCAAGTATACAGCAGAAACACAAAACACTGAGATGATCCCAGTGTAATGTATGGCTGGAATTTTAAGGACTTAAGAATCTGTTAAATTGCCCTTGTATATTACATAATAGCCAGTGTTACCTATTTAATTAACAAAGCACTTGTAGATTAAGTAGGAAAGGAATTAAACACCAGTGTTTTGAAACATGGACCATTATTGAGAGTGGAGTTGGGTGGTCCAGGACACCTACATTGGTGTATGCTGTACACTTCAAAGAAGAAAAGTCAGGTGGAAAGCAAAAGGAAGTGATGCAAAAGTAGATTGAGAATGAGACAGAGACAGATTGATCCAAGAAAAGAGGAAGCTTAAATTCCACACTTAGTACATGGAAGTGTGGTTAAATGACAGGCTGTTTGATAGGAAGTAAAGATTTTATTTAAACACTGCTGCTGTTTTTGCCTCAGCTTTTTTCTTTTGTAAAATGGTTATCTGTCGTCTCTCAGGATTCTTTTGAAAACACTATTATATATATATATAAAAGATTGTTTTAGTTCTCATAACTGTGAAGGTTCTACCTCAAATATAGTTCTCTGAATTATCCTCTCTGCTGCATTGACCTTAGTTAAGACCATCATCGTATAATAGGATTTTTAAAGCCACCTCTTACCTTCTGATTTTGCTCCTTCAGTTTACATCATTTCAGTCCATCCTCCTGATTGCTGTTGGAGTTAGTTTTCTTAAAAAGCACAGATGCCATCACTCCTATTTAAAATTCTTCTCTAATTTCTCATAGCTTTTAGAAAAATTGAGCATAATATGTGAGAAAAAAAAAAAAAAAAAAAACAAACCATAGGTATAGCCGGTAGCACGGCAGTTAAGGCAGCTGTATTTCATCTGGCCACAGTGTCTTTTGAGTCCCAGACCTGCAATGCTGTGTGCATGTGCATGAGTTCCCAAAATCCCTAGAGGAGAATGGAGGAGAAGGGGTTGTATCTTGGCCATTACCCAAGGGGAATGATTTCTCACTTTTTCTCTGTCTCTCTCTGGCGAGTGCAAACAACCTATAGCATTAAAGAAAAAAAAAAAGAAGAAAAAGAAGAAGAAAGAAAGAAAGAAAAATTCTATAGAGATTTCAAAAATTTTTGCACCAAAATAAACTTGTATGTTACTTCCTTTTTTTCATGACCTTTTTGATGTCTCTTTGTGGAAACAAAGACAAGAGTGATGCTGTGTTCCAGCTACTGTGCTTGTCTAATTATTCATTGCTTGCTTCTTTGCTCTCAAAGGTGTCTCAGTTTGGATTACAGATTATTCAGTTGCTCTTTTTTGATCTTTTCTATCTTTCTTTTCCAGAAAAAAAGAGGATACTCAGTTCTTAGCTTCTTCCTAATCATCTCTGAGGTCGATAGTTGCTTGAACCCAGTCTCTTTTCCTAAGCAATCCTAGCCTCCTCCATCCTTAAGTGCATGTTGTTGGGTAGAGTCTCCTTAAATAGAGGAGGTGGACTGCTGAAGGAATACTATTTGCTTCTGTGTAGAAAAGGTGAGGAATTATAGCCTAGGTGACTATCTCTCAAGATGGGGAGGTGTGAGTGAAAAGGGAGTATTCCTATATTCTTGAGAAGTCCAGCCTGACTGCAATAACTGTTAGGGTGTTGGGAAAGTCATGATGTATTTTTCTATGTTTTTCTGTGCAAAAAAGTATCATGACTTTGCTGACAACACAATAGTTCATAAATGATGATGGTTAAATTGAATAAGTGGACATTTGATAAATTACTTCTCCAGTGAATGATGTTAGAGGGAAAAATGACATTGCCAGTTAAATGCTGGTGTCTACATGTGTGTAATTTACCTTACAAGTAGTAGAAGTTGGGAAAAGTCAGTAATTCCTTTAATTAATGCAGCTGAAATTTATTAGATGCTTGCTCTGTCATCACTAAGGAAAGAATTCTTTGTTCTTTGTTTCTAAGGAAAGAATTCTTTTAAGGAGAAAGTTAGAAAACAGTAATCTTGAACTGTATTCAGTTCGTGTGTTTACTCTGCTAGATAATAACCTCAAACATACCAGCTTTACTTAGCAGGTGGACTCTCCGGAAGTTAGTTTTCAATAGATTCTTATAATGCTTTTGATAGCGTGAGTGAATTGAATCACCTTGTTTGTCACTGCCTCATTAAACATTGTATAAAAGCATGTAAATTACGACCAAAGAATGTTTTCAAAAACAGTGCGGACTGATTAATTATTAAATTATTTACTACATATGAGCACTTAAGTAGACTTAATTTCTTTTCTTAGTTACTTAACATAATTAACTACTCAACAGATAACATGGCATGATCTTTTAATTTTGTGTTTTAGGCTTACACGTTGTAGATAATTTTCAATGATTAATATACTACTTCAGAGCTAGTATTGAGATTGCTCTTTAGGAATATTCATAGTTTACAGTTTTTAAAATGCAATACTTAAGTTTTGTATGTGACCCAAAAACAGTGTCCTCATTGTATATTTATTGTAAGGAAAACTCATGAGGAGTAGTTTTAGAATAGACACAGTACTTGTTTTGTGTTCTATTTATTATCGCTATCACTGTCCACAGCCCTAAAAAAAAAAAGCATTTTCATATTGTTCTTATTTGGCTGCTTAATGTCATAGAAGTGCTGAGAACCGATGCTGTGACAAGAACCTTAACCATAGGCTTTGATAATGGTGTATATGACTGCTTATAAATGGCCATTTTAAAACGTTTTAAGATTAAGTCATAACAGGAAGCACTAGGTTGAAATTTAATGGCCAAAGTCCCTTCTAGGGCATGTAGAAGGGAAACTACCTCTGTCATTTTTGAGTTATCTAAATGCAGGTTTAGTTTTGAAAAATTCATTTAAGGACTTGTTAGCATTTGTTCAATACCATAAGAGATTTTCTTTTTTAAAAAATGAATTTTTTTCTGTTACTTTTGTTCTATGGATTAGTATGTGTAATGAGAGTTGATACTTGTCTCGATTTAAGAAAATGAGTTGCTGCATAGGTGAGGTAGTATTTGAATCACTTTAAAAGTTCATGTCAGTGTTTTGGTTCTTTTCCATTTTTCTTTTCTTTCTTTTTTTTTTTTTCCGATTACTTTTTTTCTTTGTTTAGTTTTATTCTGTTCTGTTTATTTACTTTTGTTTTTAGTTTTTAACAGGGAGTTTGGGACCTCCATGGCCTTGCTGCATACTTGGCTGGCCATATTTAGTCTGCGCACTAATTGTTAGTTGGCCCAGTTTAGTCTTATTTTGTGCTCTCAGTTCTTTTAGTCTAGTTTTCTATTTTTTGTCCACCTGGTTGTGTTTTAGTTCATGAGAGATTTTTATTCTGATGGGCCGGATTTTAATCCGTGTACTAAATTTTAGTCTGCAGACTAAAAGTAATCCGCGGATTATTATTTTTGCAAAATATTTAATTCCCCCACTGGAAACTATCCTAAAAGAATGTTAAATTCTCTTAGAATAGCCAAGGGAGTTCACAGCTACTGGTGAGTTCTGCCATTTTTTGTTCTCAATACCTAGACATAATAGACCCTACTACCTCCCTTGCATATTTGGCTCCGTTGTGCCTAGGTGTTGGTGTACATTACTGCACGTGTCACCTGTAACTGTGACTGTCCCTTAGTTGTATTGTTTATTGTATATATTTTTGTTTAGCTTTTGGTGGGCGAATTGGGCCTATTTGCAGATGTAATTGTGTTGAATTTGTAGTGCTCAAAGGTATAGGATTTTATTTTTTCCAGTGAGTTTTTCCACAAACAAGAGAATGTTCTATATTTATTTTTCCTAAGTAATGGGTGCAAGAGTATGAGGGGGCAAAGCCCACAGTAGAACAAGGAAGTTTATGCCCGCACTCCTGAGGTGATATGTCAACTTCCTGAAGAGTTCTAAGATATGAGAATGTCAGCAAATAAACATCTTTTAGCAGGGAAGTCAATCCAAAATGGAGAATAATCCGCGGTGGCCTGATCCTTCTTAGCACACACAAATTGAAATATTTGGCTTAAAATCTATAGTAATATAGATTAATTATATTTATTACTTTTCTGTCATCACTAATAATTTAGCAAAAAAATGTTTATACTGTATAACTGGAACACATTAATAGAGAAAAATTAGCATATTGGGAACTTAATATCTTTACAAGCAGGCTAATGTGCCCCCCTCCAGCCATGTTTATGGATGGTGAATCCAGGTCATAGAAGACCACTTTACTTTGGGAACTTTACTTCTAGATTTCATTTTGATTTTAACTTTTTTTGGTTTTGTATTTTTTTAATAAACGCACTGGCATTGGAACATAATAAGCTAAAATTAAAATGTTTCTTTACTGTGCCTCACCATTGCACAATCAAAATTTTTTTGCATACACTGTGGTGAAATAATTTTTAAAACTTGGACTTGCTACTGTGGAGACTGATGTTTAAAGTTTTTAACTGTATAAACATTTTCTATGTCCCCCCACACCATGGATTTCTTATAACATTGGATATATTTTTCCTTGCTGGACTATTCTCTTTTGGATTGACTTCCCCTGTTTGGATTATTTCACTGCATTATCATCTTTAGGATTCGTCAGGAACAGGACATTTCACCTCAGGAGTGCGGGTATGTACTAAATATTTTTTTTTCCCAAAATTTTAGGACAGGTCTATAAAACTAGGGGGAAATCTTTTTTGAAAGGCTAAACAATTATTCATTCTTGAAATGTAATAGTAAAACAACATAGGTCACTGTGACTTCTGTTTTTATTCATTGTATGGTATAAGTTTTACTTATGGTGTACTTAGATTGTCAGTCTCCTGGGTGATTCATTGACATCTAGACTGAAGTTTAGGAATTGTGAGGTTTTAAAATTACTTTTAATCAGAATAAATATTGACAAAGATCCATGGCCAAAGAGTCTGAGTCTTAAGCAGTTGCAATGAGTAAGGAATGAAGTGGCAATAGAAACTTCCTTATCAAAGGCCAAATTTCAGTAGTTGTTGGTTTTCTTTTCTTTAGACACAAGGATAATTCAGAAGAGCTAGTTCTAGTTTGGCCTGTAATTTTTGGAAGCTGCATGCTACCACATCTTTTATTATGGTCAAAAATCTGCGCTCTAAGATAAGATAATGGGTTTTGAGCCCACATGATTTTCCACTTCACCTTTATCCACGACTACTGAACCAAGGCTTTTCTCATCAGGAATCTCTCAGAGTTTAAAGTAGCAGCAGATACTTTTTTAAAGGCAGGTTAAATCTTGATTTTAATGTAAACTTTTGGAATGAATTCTTTTATTTATTTTTCACTCTTTGACTCCATGAGTTAGGATTCCCTAACAAATGAGCTAGTATTAATAGATGATTACTTGTACCCCGTAAAACACCAGAAGGATATGGGTGACTTAAAAAAAAGAATCAGATGCAAGCTTAAAATAGTGGCTTATTAATAGTTTTAACACAAAACCTTCATTAATATAAGGTTAGAAAACCTTCATTATAAACCGTGAAAATTTCTCATTTAAAATAACTTACCTACCCTATGTATTTAAAATGTTGTCAGGAGATATTTTCTTGGTGCTAATTTTAATTCAACTCATGTGCTACCATATTGTTGCAAAAGCATTTTGAATTAGCTAGCAAAATAAAACCATATACTGTCAAATAGATGCATAGTGCCCTCAGGGATAAATATGTTAGTAATATTTAATATTTCTATGAGAAATTTTTCAAGTTTTCCCACTGATTATTTTCTTTTTACATTCTGGATTTGATTTGAAGCTTGGGAGCAAGAAAGTGGAAAATGACCAACAACAGTGGAAAATGTAAATATTTCAAATAATACAGTAACTTTAAAGTTTTGTTTGTTTTTTTCCACAAAGGCAAATCAGAGTACTCTAAAGAATAAAGATAAGGCTTTTTTTTTTTTTAGTTACAGAGGACTTTATAACATAGCCATTAAATTGACTACAGTCTTTAAGATTTAAAAAAAAAATTCCTAAGATCAACCCAGTTTCTCAGTTCCCATGGGAAATGTCTTTTTCAATAGTAAACTGTGTAAAGACAAAAGTAGGGGGCAAAGCTATTTTCACCATAGGAAGGACTCATAAAAAATCTCTTGAAAATATAATGAGCACTGTAGTTATAACTAATTCTCCTACCTTCAGCCTAAATGATTGTTAACCCACATGTCTACATGAGCCATTCTCATTGGGAAACCTCAGCCTCGCAGCCTCCATGACCTGTCACAATCTGCATGTCTTTTCCACATGTATGGGTCTATTTGCCTTCCTTGGTACATGTCCCCTTCACTTGTGTGTCTGTTTACCTGCACCAACATACCTTTTATTTGGTTGTGTGTTCTTCCTATCAAGGGTTGTGTTTCATTTTTTTCTTCAGTTTCAGAGGCTATTTTTGTTCATGTTTATTTCTGTTCCTTTCCTCTCTGGTTTTGTTCTTTAACTGGCCATAATTTAAAGTTAGGTATATTTTCAGAGTTTTGCGTATTGATTAGTTTTGTTTAAGATGTAGATAAGTAGAAAGCTATTTATTCCTTTAAGAAAATTAATTTAATTGCATTTAGCCTTCATGATTTTTTCTGTAACTTAATAGGTCTTTATAAAAAACTGCATTTTTCTCTCCCTGATTCAAATCTTTAAACCATTAAAATGAGAACAGTCCGAATATATTCATGTTAACAGCTATTTGAGAAAACAGTATCAGACACTTTGCCAAATTCTAGATATCCAAGAATTTCTGTAAATAATAATGGGCTCTTTTTATTGAGGAGATAATACCAAAACATTAGCATTTTTAGAGATATTGATTGCTAAATTTGAATAGTACCATCCATTATTGACAACTGTTGTACTAAAAATAATGCATAAAAGAGGCAATCTCTTGTTTCTGCCACAGCGGTCAAATTTTTAAAGTTTTTTTTTTTTTAATATTCTTCAGCCTTTCTCATGTACCTGTCATATCTTATATGCATGTTTTATTGTACTGCTTCCTGATTAGCATATGTATATTTTTCTTAGAGCTTTTCTCATATGGTCTTTAATGAGCAGTTCACTCCAGTGTGGTGAATCATACGCAGTTAACTCTTTTCATTCTAGAAGGAAGGCTCCTTTCCCCAAGTGCAATCATGTTCTGCACATGGTGGGAATTAACTCAGTACTCAAAGAGTTTTTTCTAAATTCTTATAATAAAACATTAATTGTTCTCCTTTCTTTTGTACTACAGGTCTTCCGACCTCGAACTCCACCAGAGGCAATTGCACTGTGTAGCCGTCTGCTGGAATATACACCAACTGCCCGATTGACGCCACTGGAAGCTTGTGCGCATTCATTTTTTGATGAATTACGGGACCCAAATGTCAAACTACCAAATGGGCGAGATACACCTGCACTCTTCAACTTCACCACTCAAGGTAATTCGAAACACTTAGCTCATTTACCATTTCTGGGAAAGCTTATACACTGAGTATGAAATAATGCTCTACATTTTAAAATCCATGGAATATAAACATGGACTTATTGAGTACTTACAGAGGTATGAAGCATCCTTTATAACTTACTAGGCCACTATTTGTATGGCTTTGAACAACATAGTGGTAGATATAATTTTTGAAATACACAAGGCTTCTCTAGTTTTTAGCAAATTATAATAAATCTTGGTACATGAAAAGTTACAGAGGTTTCAGAGAGTAAAGTTTATGACTAAAAAGACTGGTGTATAATCTAACCTTTAAGTTTGCATCTGAAATGTAGAATATTAGCATTTTTTGTTTCTCAGGGACTTACATCATGTTTTTTAAATCTGGAAATAAATTAGTGGTTATACTGGTGTAAATTCATTTAATTATCATACAAAAGAAAGAACCAGAGTCCTATAAATCCTTCCTAAAAACTTACACAAGGGCTGTAGAAAGAGAAATTGCCATCTTCTCTGGGCTTGGCACCATTGCTACTACTGAGCAGAACTTTATACATGGGTAGTTTCTGGAGGATCTAGAACTAGTCATTATTTTTTCACCATTTCTGTGTTCACTTTTTCTTTCTTTCTTTTTAAGACCATAAACGATTCATTCAATTAACCACTCTACCTCTGGTGATTTGATATTCTTTTTAAACTGAGCATAAAAAAAGTACCCTAGGGGCCAGCACATGGCATGATGGTTAAGGACACTGGACTTACATATGGTTGACCACGGTTTGAGTCCCAGACCTGGTGGCTTTCTTTCTCATTTCTCTCTCTGTCTCACTCACTCACTCTGTCTGTCTCTGGTCAAATTAAAATAAATAAATAGGGACCAGCAGATAGCGTAATAGCTACGTCACTGAACTCCCACGTAGTCGACTGTGGTTTGAGTCCTGGACCCAGTGACTTAAACTCACGCCAGGTGTGTGTGCATGCATGCCCAAGATCCCGAGAGGTGAATGGAGGAGAAGGGATTGTGGCATAGCCATCCCTCCTGTCTCTCTGTCTCTCTGTCTTTCTGGTGAGTGCACATGCCCTATAGCAAAAACCTCTCAAAAATAAATAAATAAAGTTAAATAAGATTATTCTTTTAAAAATGTACTATGGAGGGAACCAGCAGTTAGCGTAATGGTTATGTCGCTGGACTCCCACGTAGTCGACCGCGGTTCGTGTCCCGGACCCGGTGGCTTAAAACTCACACCGGGCGCGTGTGCATGCGTGCCCAAGATCCTGAGAGGAGAATGGAGGAGAAGGGATTGCGGCGTGACCATCCCCCCTGGGGGGTGCTTTCTCGCTTTCTGTCTCTCTTTCTGGCGAGCGCACGCACCCTATAGCAAAAACCTCTCCAAAAAAAAAAAAATGTACTATAGATAACACAAGAAATAGATTGTTGATATATTGATTCATCAGGAATCGTTGTCAAACCAGAAAGTACTGAAAGAAATAAAGAGCTTTTTGTGACCAAAAAAGTTGTATTTTCTCGGGAACCAGCAGTTAGCGTAATGGCTATGTCGCTGGACTCCCACGTAGTCGACCGCGGTTCGTGTCCCGGACCCGGTGGCTTAAAACTCACACCGGGCGCGTGTGCATGCGTGCCCAAGATCCTGAGAGGAGAATGGAGGAGAAGGGATTGCGGCGTGACCATCCCCCCTGGGGGGTGATTTCTCGCTTTCTGTCTCTATGTCTCTCTCTGTCTCTCTGGTGAGCGCACGTGCCCTACAGTGAAAATCTCTCCAAAAAAAAAAAAAAAGAAAAAAAAAAGTTGTATTTTCTCTAGTCTAAGGTGAATTTTTTTCTCCATATTTAAACTTTTCTAAAATTGAACATGGAGAAATGCATGGCATAGCAGTAGATGTGCAAGACCCAATTCAATAGTGAAATATACTTGAGTAATTTACTTGACTATAATCTTAAACCGTCAGCATTATATAACTACTTACAATTCTGACACAGTCTTAAAAATACATTATAAAAAGAATATGCTGGTGGGACCAGCAGATGGTGCAATGGTTACATCTCTGGACTCCCACGTAGTCGGCAGTGGTTCAAGACACAGCCAGCGACTTAAACTCAGGCAGGGTGCGTGAGCATGCATGCCCAAAATCCTGAGAGGAGAATGAAAGAGAAGGCATTGCAGCATGGCCATTCCCCCAGGGGGTGTTCTCTTGCTTTCTGTCTCTCTGGCACACGTATGTGCCCTCTAGCAAAAAACTGGCTATTTGTAATGTTGTTTTAGTTACTGGCTATCCCATTTTTAAGAAGAGTATTAGTGAATGAGGAATAGGGTATACAAAGAAGCAGCATCGAATATAGAGCCTAGAAAAGAGAAGACTTGATATATCCCTGATAACTGTCCAGATATAACCAAGGATTGATTTAAAAAGAAAAGAGTAATCATATATTCCTTTTCCAAATTGAAAATAGTAGTAGTAGGCTGGCCCTGTTGCCTAATGGTTAAGGCAGCTAGCTCCCACCTGGCCAACCAACTGCATGCAGTTCATATCTTAGCCCTGCAGCTTGATAAGCACAGTAGGTGCTTGTGTACATGTTTGCCACAAATCCTGACATAATAGGAAATGGAGAAGGGATTGTGACAAGACCCATTAGGAGGAACTTTCTCTGTCTCTCTCTGATGAGCACATGCACCCTTCTGGCAATTAGAAAGAAAGAAAAGAAAATAGTAGCAGAAAATTAGAGAACTGTGTAAATTTGGACTTAACCAAAAAGACTGTAGTCTGAGGCACTAATAGAGATTAGATAAAATTATTGGCAAGTCAGTGAAGAAATTTGCAGTTGTTTAACATTGAAACAAGTTTCAAAATATTGATCTCTGTATGTCAAAATATTCAAGAAAGAGCTGGATGATGTAAATATTGTATGTAGGATTACTTCAGTTTTGCAGAAGATTAAACTAGGAGATTCTATTGTGTGATTCCATGTCATAAGTTTTAGAACTCTTGAGAAAATAAATTTCTTTTAATTCTTACTGCTTTAGTTCTAATCAAGAGTAATATATGTAAATTAATATATGTAAATTTGAAGATAGAAGGTATGGAGAAAATTATAATCAAAAGTCCAAAACAATTTTAGCCTTCAGACAATCACTTTTTATAATATTTTAATTGCATTTTATAGTGTAGCTCTTTTTTAACCACTAGTGACAATCCTTGAATATAAAATAATCTTTTATTTTCCTAAGAAGATCCTAAACAATTTTTTTTTGGCAAATGTGAACATATTTGAAATTATGTATTAATTAGGTGAGGTTGTGTATTAACTTAGAAATTTTGGGACCAGCAGTTGGCATAATGGCTATTTCACTAGACTCCCATGTAGTGGACTGTGGTTTGAGTCCTGGACCCAGTGGCTTAAACTCATGCCAGGTGTGTGTGTGTGTGTGTGTGTGTGCCCAAGATCTGGAGAGGAGAATGGAGGAGAAGGGATTTTGGTGTGGCCGTCCCCTCTGGGGGGTGATTTCTCGCTTTCTGTCTCTCATTCTCTGTCTTTCTGGCGAGGGCACGTGCCCTATAGCAAAAACCACTCCAAAAAAAAAGAAGAAGAAGAAAAGAAATCTTTTGTTTGTATTTTTTTAATATATATCCAATCACTGTACGTAATTATAGCATGGAAAATGAATTTTCCCAGCATGAATACATTGTATATTAGTTCAGTCAAAGGTATTATTATACACATCATCAACAGATAGTTTTCCATTTTTGTGTCTCTTGAATGTTTTGCTTCTTTCTTTTTGTTAATTTTATACATTTAATCACAATATATCAGTTAGCTTGTAACTTCTTTCTTTTTCTCCTTGATTCTCTTCCTCTCATCCTTCCCCATTTCCCACCCCCCTCCAGCACTATCTCTGGTAACCACATTGCTCTTCATGGTTTTATACCTTTCAGTATTTGAGTTTCTGCCGTAGTGTTCAGACATTCAGTATATATTGAGTGGGGACATACAATGCGTCTGTTTTAGGGTCTGGCTTGCTCTGCTTAGTAGTAAATATTTAATATTCATCCACTTTCTATCAAATGGCAGGGTCCCTTTTTCTGGCGTAGTAGTATTCCATAGGGTATATGTTCCACACATTTTCAATCTGTTTATCTGTTTTTGGACATTTGGGTTGGTTCCATGTCTTAGCAGTTGTGAATAATGCCACAATAAACGTGGATGTGGAAGTGTTTTTCCTACTGAGTGTATTCCTCTCTTTTCCCAGGAGTGGATTGCTGAATCATGTGTTAGTTCTGCTTCTAGGTCCTTGGGGAACCTCCGTATTGCTCTCCATAGTGGCTACTAATTTACATTCCCACCAAAGTGTAGGAGAGTTCTCTTTTTTTACCATAGCCTCTCTAGCACAAATCTTGCTTTTGTACATCTCAAATTTCATGAAAAAATTTTGTTCAGACTCTTCTTATGCATCTTTCATATCTGTGCCTTTGTAATCCATAGAGCTACTTTTCGAATCATAGTTTTTTAGGTTATATCACCTAAATGTTTTTGTTATAAACCACTTTTATAAATCTTTGAGGACATCATTGAAAATTCTACAAGAACCCACTTACATAACTTGTTTTATTTTCTTTTGTACTGTAGGTGTATATTTACTATCTACACAAAGTAACTACTGGAATACTTTTCTGGTGGTCTCCAGGGATCATTTGGTGGCACAGTAGTAAAATGCTTATGGCTAACTCCGGTGGGAAATTTCAGGGCTCACATCTGGAGATTTTGAGTATGCTGGGCATGCACTTGCCCATGGTCCAGGACTAGGTAGGGTAGATCACGGCATCAGGGCCTTCTTGGGAGTACTGTCTCTGTGTGTGTATATCTCTCACTTATGAAAGAAAGGAATGAATAGTTTTTTTTTTTTTAATAAATAAATAAAGTGGCCTCCAAAAGGCTTGTATACAGTAACATCCAGCACTTACAACTATGAATTCTTATCAT